GCAGCCTCGACCTGCTGGGCTCTGGCGATCCTTCCGCCTCAGCCTTCCGAGCAGCCGGAAATACAGGCGTGTGCTACCACGCCCGGCTAATTTTTTGATTTATTGTAGAGATGAGGTCTCGTCTGCCCAGGCGGGTCTCGAACCCACGGGCTCAGGCACTCCGCTCACGTCAGCCTCCCAAAGGTGCGGGATTACAGGCTGAGCCACCGAGCCCGGCTCTAAAATCTAATTTCTATTTATCTGTGCCTTAAGGTGAGCTGCCAGTCCAAGACTGAACAAAGAACATTAAGAAGCCCACATAGTTTACGGGACCCCAGTGAGAACACTTGCCTTCATTGAATATGTTCTTACATGTCTAGCTGTACAGTATGCTTTGGAGTAAAAGTAATAAATCAGAGAAAAATGGAAAACTTTTCGACCAAACACAGGAAGAATGACATCAAATCCTAAGATCAGCACTGTATTGGTTTCCTAGGGAAGTTAAAACAAAATAGCACAGACTGGGTGACTTAAACAACAAATAATATCTTCTCTCGGTTCTGGAAGCTGGAAGTGCAAGATTTAGATTCCGGCAGGGCTGGTTTCTTCGGAGAGCTCTCCTTCACTTGCAAATAGTCACACTCTTGCTGCATGTTCACATTGTCATCCCTCTGTGTACTTGTGTCCCTGGTGTCCTTGTGTGTGTCCAAATTTCCTCTCATAAGAACACCAGTCAGACTGGATTAGGGCTCACCCTAATGTCCTAATTTCAATGTAATCCTCTCTTTATTTGTTTTTGTTTTGAGTTGGGGGCCTCACTCTGTTGCCCAGGCTGGAGTACCGTGGCCTGCTCACAGCTCATTGTAGCCTCAACCTCCCAGGCTCAAGCGATTCTTCCGTCTCAGCCTCCAGAGTAGCCGGGACTACAGGCATGCCCCACCATGCCCAGCTAATTGTTCTATTCTTTAAAGAGATGAGGTCTCACTCTGTTGCCTGGGCTGGTCTCAAATTCCTGGGCACAAATGATCCTCCCACCTCAGCCTCCTAAAGTGTTGGGATTACAGGCGCAAGCCCCCACACCCGGCTAAAGATACTATCTCTAAATACAAAATGTAGAAGATTGGGGTTTCAACATATGAGTTTTGGGTGATGCAATTTGGCCCATAACAAGTACCTGGACCCTAAGCTGTCAGAAATCAGGAGAGGAGGCCAGGTTTGGTGGCTCAGTCTCCCAGCACTTTGGGAGGCCGAGGTGAGTGGATTGCCCGAGCCAGCGGGTTCGAGGCCCACCTGGGCAACTTGGCGAGACCTCATCGCTACAATAAATCAAGCAAATTAGCCAAGTGTGGTAGCGCACGCCTGTAGTTCCGGCTACTCCGAAGGCTGAGGCGGAAGGATCGCCAGAGCCCAGAAGGTCGAGGCTGCGGTGACCAGGAGCATGCCACTGCAGTTCAGTCTGGGTGACAGTGAGACTCCACTCAAAAAAAAAAAAAAATTAGGAGAGGAGGCACGTGCTTCCTGTTTGTCTGCAAAGGACTCTCCAGAAATCTCTGGCACATGGACAGTGCCCAACAGGTATTCATTCTATGAATGAATAACGACTCGATGTGTGAACTGATTCCATTCTAAGCAAAGCAATAACAGCCTACTGAAAAATGTTATGAGCATCCCTTGTACAAAACGTACACAAGAGCAAATTAGCTGCCCGTGATGCCAATACCAACTCAAACGCACTTCCGGGGGCACGCTTTGTCTATAAGTAGATCTTCAACATCTCACAAATTGACTTCAGAGGTTTGTCACAATGAACATCATTCCAGCCCCAAATTTTTGAAGACTGACGAAGGTTTACTACAACACAGCGCTCTTCAGGGTTATTGGGTTCATCCACGTGCCAGAATCTGAAAGGGAGAGAAAAGATGCTAGTGTTTTAAACCAACAGTGTTTTGAAAGAGTTAGAAACCACGTGTGGGAGGAAGGGGAGGGTTAAACAGTGTGAAAAGTCCAGGTGTGGTGTGGTGGCTCATGCCTATAATCTCAGTAATTTGAGAAGCCAAGGCAGAAGGATTGCTCGAACCCAAGAGTTCAAGACCAACCTGGGCAACGTAGTGGGACCTCGTCTCTACAAAAAAAAAAAAAAAAAAAATTT